GTATCAAGTTTTTTTTTAAACTTTTTTCTTTAATTATTAGATAGAAAATCGATTGTTATTTTATTTCGATAAATTTTGTGAATAATATGCTTTTTCTATTTTTGCTATTAGCAATCCTTAAGTGCGCCATAATACCCGACCCTCCCTTACGCGGGCCAAACTTTTAAAAACCAAATTTTACTGTATTTTGAGGGCCGGCAAAAGTACAATTTTTTAGGCACATGCGGGCCTCTAAACCGGCGGGTCAACGGATTAGGAATTTTACTTAATTGGTTAACCAGCTCAGTTTGGTTACCGGGAATTTTATCAACTATATATATACAGTATATATTTATTATATTTGCTTCTAGCAAATTTTTGCACATTGTTCGCGTCAAGCCTGGCCTGACCCGACTAAATAAGATTATCTATAGGCGAAAAATAAATATTACTGTTTTTGGGGAATTGTATTTGAGAAACTTTAAGTCAAGCTAATATGCAGCATAATACATGGCAACCACATCAGGGATATTATCCGACACTTACGACTACAAGACTGCAAATAAGGTCATTTGGCAGTCTGTCGTCGTAAATTGTCATATGATATTGTTATTCAATGCGATGCTACGCATCAATAACTTGTTTATTTGCTTTAAATTTAATGTGCCATTTCTGAGCTCCTTCGGAGACCGAAAGCGGCACATTAAATTTAAAGCCAGATAATGAAAGTATTTTCACAAATAACTCCCATTATTGATGCCTATATACAAATATATATATTTTTTGAAAAGAGTAAAAAAACATTGTATTATTTGTATACAAGTGATATTTTACATTGTCCATTTTAGACCCACTGTTGTTGATGGGCAAAATTTTTAGCTTCTTCATTCCCTAAACTTGCAGCTTTCAACATTAATTTTTTCGATTCTTCCAAGTCTATTTTCAAACATCCAAGTCCTTTGAAATAGCAAACACCTAAATGATACATCCCGTGAGGTATCCCTTTTTCTACAGCTTGCGTAAAGAATTTTACGGCTTTTATTCTATCCTTCTGATGTCCTTTGCCAGTTAAATATATATAACCCATCATATCCATTGCATCACCATCACCACCTTCGATAGCCTTTTCAAAATACTGAATAGCTTGTGGAATATTTTCTGCAACGCCTTTAGCAAAATAACAATATTCACCCAATCGGAATAAGGCGTGAGGAAAGTTATCTTTAACTTTTTCATATTCACTCCTTGCTTTTATATAATCTCTTCGTTGATGATAAGTCTCAGCGTTTTCTAATATTTCTTTTGGAGATAAACTGCGACCAGAATCTTCTTCATCAGAAATATCAGAAATAGAGAGATAACGAACAGATTCAGGTTTAAGATAATTATTTTTTTCTTCTACAACTAATACGTCATTAACTATGTCTTTATCTTCCCCATTAAATTGTATAGAGCCATCCAAATCCTCAGGTCGGATTGCTTCGAGATGATATATAATATCATTAGTTTTGAAACGTCTGTTCGGTACTATGTGGGTACAATTAGTATAAATACTAGATATAGCAGGTGGTATATCAGAAGGAAGAGTAAGTTCCTTTCCTTCGTTTCTAACTTTATAAACATTGTTTAAATTTAAGCCTTCCCATGGAAATTTTTCGCCAACGATTTCATAAAACACGATACCGAACGAAAAAACATCACACTCTTCAGTAAAAGTTGTAATACTATCGCCAAGACGTTCTGGTGCTGTCCAACGAATTTGTTCTTCAAATGAATCAACTACCCCAAGACTTCCCGTATCGATCCAGCGAGATCTACGAAAATTCGTGATCTTTGCTTGAAAATAACTATCCAAAAGAACATTCGCACTGTTGATGTATTTATGCAAAATTCCTGCTTTATGAAGGAATGCCATGCCTATATGAAAACGAATAAATTTTAATTTTTAATAACGTAAATGTCGTCAAAAAAAAAAAAAAAAAAACTAATAAATAAATATTTGTTTATTCACCTTGGGCTAAACCCAAAGCGATGCTACGTTTCTTTCCCCAATCACCTTTCAATTTACCCGATGAAATAAAATTTTGTAAGTCTCCATTTTCACAATATTCCAAAACTAGTGACATATTTCCACGAATATTAGTAACACCAATAAGGTCAATGATATTTGGACATGAAACCAATTTTCTCAAATATGCAACCTCTAGTGCAAATTTTGATACATCATCAGCTACTGATTCTTGGGCCATTGTCACTTTGATGACTACTTTTGTAACCTTAGCCTGTCCGTTGCTATCTACAGTATGATAATTAGCCGTAAAAAGTCTGCCCGTATTGAATTGCTGTATATTAGACAATTCCTTTAAAACAATTCTGTTACCTAACTGTGTAGGTGGATTCGATGACAGTTTATATCCACGAATTTCTTTCAAAGATTCTTTAACAATATTATTTAACTCTGCGAATGCAACTTTATCTTCTTCATGCCATGCTTTTTGAATTTCTTCTGCATATTGACTATCAACAAAATGACGAATATTGATAGCGAAATTGAGGCGATTACATGCTTGATCTAATCGATCTTCGATGTCTTGAAATTCCGCTGCAAATTTCTTTGCAAAAAAGATTTTTAATCCATATTTTGCTTCTGCATGTTGTTTTACAACGGCTCGACCATCCTCTAAAACAATAGCAAATGCTTTTAATGCTGATACGAAATTCTTATTTTCTATCTCTTTAGGTGTTTTTTCTAGTTGTTCTAGTAATTCCTTGGCTGAATCACGTGCTATTTTGAATTGTTCACCAAGACGTTTACATTCAGCCTTACAGTGTTTAGCTGATTGAGCATATGAAACAATGTCATCAACAAGGTATGCAATATTGCCTGTTAATACTGCGATAACCGTATGACTAATGATTTTACCAATCTCTACAGCTCCTTCAATATATTGCGGTAAATTAATTCCAAATCCCGATAACCCGCTACTAGCTTTATCTATAGTTTCTATAGTACTTATCAATTCCATTATTGATATTGATATTTGATAATTTTTAAAAAATTGGTAACTTTACGGTTTTTATTTGTTTTAAAATCATTGGAAGATCTTTACAAACTTTACGTCATGTTGATATATCAGATTAACATTAATGCTAAAAGAAAAATAAATATGCGCTTAATTATTTTCAGTAAACTTCTTTTTTTTCTTTCAGTAAACCACATTCCTTCTTCGAATTAAGTTCTCAATCACATTCCTTTATTGGTTGTATTTAGGGGGGTTATGATATCATGACCATTTTTGGGGGGTAATATACGTACGTAGGCGTATATTAATTTTATTTTGCACATGATTATTATCGAACATGTTGATACGTACCTTTTTTTCTTTTTTAATGTTAACGCCAAATCAGCGAAAATAAAAAAAAATAGAGGTGAAAAAATGATTTTTGTTCCAGACATTTTTTAGAGTAGTCACACTACCTACGGCATTATGTCATATTACTCTCAGATTCGTATTGACAGGCGTAAGTAACGTAGCACCATAGATACTAATGTTATGATAAAATTTTTTTTGAGCTTAAATAGTAAAATCCGCTATGTAGATCACGTTAGGTGAAATCTGCGTTTGGCTATGTTTTTTGTCACAAGCTGCGGCAAAGGTTTTTCCAAACTTTGAGCGAAGATATCTTGACAACCACCTATCTAAAATCGATGGAAATTTTTTTATTTGATTCTATTAACTGTAAATTAAAATAAAAAAAAAATTGATTGATTTTTAGATAGGTGGTTATCTAGATGACTTCGCTCAAAGTTTAAAAAAAATTACTTATTGATTTTGCCCAATTAGAATGTTGATGTTCAATTAGAATCTCATTTTAGCGACGTGAAAAAAAGATTTATTATCACGTGATATAATATCGAGATCAGGTGTAACGTGAAATTCAAAACAATGCGTTACACCTGATCTTGAAACAATGAAATTTTCTCACGACGACAACCATTGCAAGATTCTCACGACAACCGTTACAAGTTTTTAATTCAAGATTCCTGTGTTTTAGAAATGAAGTACTTTTACATAGTAAAAATACTATTAAAAAATTCTACTTATTTTCGAAATGCGCCACTTATTTATTAATTTTCAACCTCCTATTAGCATTAATTCGAGTTAGCCAATTTAAACTTTGCTAGAACTCTAGCGTCACCAACCCAAAAATTTTACAAACAAATTTTGCTGTTAAATTAAGAACAGGATTCACTATTATCGTTATATTACAGCGCTTTTCAAATTACTGTGACCAGCAAATTTCACGTATCACACCGGAAATCAGGAATCCAGAAAAAATGCCAATTTGTAATTGGTTAAAAAATTATTCTAATAATTTTTAGCCAATCACAAATTGGCATTTTTTCTAGATTCCTGATTTCTGGTGTGATACATAAAATTTGTTGGTTACAGTAATTTGAAAAGTGCTGTAAGTTAGAAAGAACTTCATTAATGCAAAAAATTTGCAGAGCAATTTTTTTTAGCACATTGAAGTTTTAATACACCTGATCTAAAAATTTGGTTGGCTGCTGAAATATTTTAGTATAGCGATACTAGAGCTGCTAAAAACTACTAGTGCATAGACAGGCACAAGACTTATTTAAAGTTAACTAAATTTTATTTTAAAATTTAAAATTTGCTAAATTTTATTGTAGATTGAAATTAAATTTTTAATAACTCAAATACAACTTGAAATTTTGTTATAATCTACAGTATATTTATTTATTATTTTTTTTTAACAAACTTGCCTTTATTATTTCAATCGGAAGTATCAAAATTTTGTTACAAATATACAAATTATATATTATAATCCTGTACTAATAAAGACTTACTTAGCATTAAATACCCAGGTATAATCTGCTTATGCAGCCAATTTGTTTCACATTGGATCCTTAACTTTCTGAGAATTTGTTTTCTCTGATCATAAGCTGGGAGTTGCTTATCTTGTCAGTGTTGTTTTTTTTTTTTTTAATATTGGTCTAGGAAGACCAGTCTGATGTGATGTGATGTTAAAAAAGATTTTGATTATTTTTTTACATCTATTTAAAGATCAGTCTTTCTTTTTTTCTTTGGTTAGTGTTTTCTTTTTTTTTTTTAATGTTTTATTTTTTTTGTTTTCAAATTTTTGCACAGGTTTCTTTTTGCATTGTTTTTTCTTTTTCA